TTATTTTTCACTACCATGCACAGCATTAATAGACACAAGCACATTTCTCCAATCATGAACCCTGAAAAGGAAAACAATAACCATGAAACTATAGCAACAAACATTAAGAACATGGTTTTATATCTGTAAGTATTCCTTCATTTAACAAATATTTTGAGTATCTACTAAAACAAGCTCTATCCTTTTAGGAAATCACAGCTTAGTGAAAGAAGCACAGATACAAAGAGCAACTTTATCACAGGATGAGGAACTATGTCAAAACTATATAAAAAGATGCATGGAATGTCCAGGAAATAGCAAAAATAGGTTTCAAAGTTTTATATGGAGTGTGGGGAAAGAGAGAGAAAGAAAAAGAAAACACTAGAGTAGGCGCTATCCTGTGGGCAATGGAGATGATGATGACATGGCTCCTAAAAACTCTCTATCAAAAGCAGGGGAACCACCTCATGAAAACAAAAGGATTTATTTTTGGTGGGCATAATAGCTACAGACTACAAGTTTAGAAAGCTAAAGGGTGCCTTAGTAATACAAAATTAACAGGCCTTGAAAGAAAAAAATGAGTAACCTTTAATACATTTATATGAAGGAAGACACTGTGTGGGCAGTATGCACAGTATTTCTATATTTGGTAAAATTTAGAATCACAACCAATTCATTACAACTTACTTTCAAAATTGCTGGTATAAATAACATGAAAAAAAAGTGGTAAGTGTTCTTCCAGTATTGCCCAAGAGACTTTTTCCTCAAGGAAAAAAAACAAAATTATACATAGCTGCCAACACAAACACACAAATGCATTATTTATATACAATTGAAGTCATCATATGCATATAAATTTCATTACTATCCTAGTACTGTGACTTGGGATTAAAGATATATAAGCAAGTTACCACTATGGAGAAACAGCTGTTGGTGTAATTGAGCTAAAGCCAGAAAATCTGAGGTCAAATATGAGGCCTGTCACTTACTAGTATGTGGCCTTGGGCAAACCACATAATTAATCCTGCTGAGCCTTTGTTTCTTTATGGGGGGGGGGTCCACTTGGTATAGTCATTGTGAAGAATAAATGAAACAGCCTATTACACAAAGCATGCAGCACATCACCAAAGTTTGTTTTTCATTCTTCCTTCCTCTCCATAAAGTAATGAGTCTTTCCCCCATGGAACTAGACTTTATTGCTTTGTAATTATAATGTGCATGTAAGAATGTCCAAGAACTAGATGGTAAATAACACCAACATGCAGACCTGAATGCACATATTGCTAGTTGGCTATCATCTGGATCCCAAAGGGCTCCTGTACTCTATCTATTGCATCCCAGCAACCAGATACCTTTTCTTCATGAATACAGCCAAAATTATCCACTGTCTTTGAAATATCACCACCATGGTGTTGCATAGAGCAGCTGGTTGATTGAAAGTGACTTCCCCTCCCCCACACTCCAGCTGTCACCAGGAAACCTTCCTCAATGTGGGGAAAAAGACAATGTAATATTACTACTACCACTATTAATAACAATCTAACAAATACTTAGCATTTGAAATTATTTTCTTATGAAAGCTCATTATTTAAGTAAAAATTAACTCTTAAAAAAAACACTTTACCATATGAATGCAGTTGCTTTCATAACTAAAAACAATGGATGGTAAACACAAGTAACACTGTATACTGCCTTTGACTACCTGTTTCTTTTTGAGTCATTTGTGATGCTAAACAGCATTCAGTTAAAATACTAAATAGCTCTTAATAGTGATACGGCTGTCACAATGGTAAGAGTGTTTTATTTTAAAGTTGATGTCTCAAAAAATGTGCAGAATCCTATTTTTGTAAAATATGGGTCAGATTGAAGGCTGTATTTTCTTTTTAAATAATCACTCACACCCCTGCATGAGAAGCCAGACACATGTTGAAATTGCTGAAAATCCTGGGAACTGTCTTCAGAACAAGATCCCACTCATCAGATAATTAATGCCATTAATTTTTAAGTATAGCTCATGCCCTGAGGTATTCTATCCTTCGAATGGAATTTCACACCCAGTTCCCTAGAATCCTAGGTTCCCTGGACATGCCTGGAGCATGGCTGCCCAGGATCAAGAGCCTACTGATCTTAAAGCCTCTCAGCTCCTGAACTTTTCAGGTAAGATTCTGCTTAAAAGGGCTTCCTCCTTAAAACAAAACAAAACAACAAACAAAAAACAAATCTGAGAGTCACTGCTCAGTAGACATAATCGCAGTATTAAAGGAAACCTACCTTTTTAAAGAATAGCTTCTACCTTTTCAATGATTTTTTAAAATAATTTTTACATATACATTCACACATGTAACTTTACATATATGTCATTCTTTATACTTAGTCTCCACTCCCATATTACAATACACAAAGTAAACAAAATTATGACCTAGTATGTTTTCAATTATTTTCCATGCTCATGTATTTGTAGCAATGTTTATATCTGTGTGTACAGAGATGTGAATATACAGATATGTATGTGTACATATATACATACAGAAAAAATATACATATACTCACAGAAAAAATATAAGGAACTTTTTATTTTTAAAAATTAGAACATAAAACTTTTCCATATGTTATCATTAAGCATCCATATTGAAAAAATATTAATTTCTTAACTAATAGCATTTTCTTATACCTTGGAAATGAGGTGTCATCTTCTGTAACATAGGGCTCTTCCAATAAACTACCAAACTATTTCTAGAAGTTGCTCTGTTCCAATAAAAGTATGTAACATAGTTTTTCCACCATGAGTAAAGCTTTAACTTCCTCTAAGTGTTTGCTTTCTCTCATACACAATAATATGAAAGCTCTGACTCTTCACTTCAACATCTTTATTACTTAAAAAAAAAAAGTGCAGTTTGGTAATAAAATTATCTCACCTATAAAAATATTATGAGGAAACAAAGTTAGTTTTTCTATGTCCAAAAGTCAACATTTATTATGGGCATGTTTTATACATTATTTCATTCAATTCAATGGCCTGAGATAGGCACTCTAAGATTCCTACTTTATAGAAGAAATTAAAGCTGGAAGGATGTTAATGTGTCCAACGAACACCAGTATATAGGGGAGGCAGGATTCAAGCAGAGTTAGCCTGATCCAAAACCACTGCTATAGATCTACCTCTCTTATATGGAAAGTGTCTGGCGTCTATTAAGAAATGAATATTTCATGATGGAACAGTGTTACTTTGGTGGTAGGGTTAACAATATCATTTATAGAAGTTGATATCTGAAGGGACAACTTATCTTAAAAATTCTCTCACCAACAATATCCAGGAGCCATGACATAGCCTCAGAACAGGATTCTCTAATCAAAGTGCTGTGCTTTGTAGGCCATTGTTTTGCACTGACCCATGGTTTGGTACTACCATTCTCTACAATGCAATGATTGTAGGCTTTAGGGCAGTAGCTTCAAATCCCGAATGTTTCTTTCTGCCCCTACAATGACCCCTTGAAGACAAAGAGTTGTAAGAAACGCTGCATCGAACAATCTGAAAAAACAGCTTGAGAGCATGACTAAGTAAATCTAGGGATCTCAAAACAGAGGTACGGAAAATGGGTATGACCTTCTCTGCTATCATGGAGCTGTCTGACCTATGAGGACATATGAGGAATATTCTGCATGACAAATTTGATTATAAAAAGCCTTCTAAACAGCAGTCACAATTTCCATGCTCTGCAATTTATCTCTAACCCAACATAGTATCCTCCCTGCACAATCTATGTGCTTACTTCCTGAGATTCTAAGTTATTTCATAACGTCTCACCTTTGAGTACTTTATATATGAAGGTGAGAAATACTTTTCTTGTATTTTCACAAGGAATACTTACAGATCTATGAAGTAACATTTAAGTGACCTGTCCAAAATTCTGTATCTAGGAAGTATCTCAATTCAAATTCCATTCGATATCTGTGACTACACAATGGATGATGTTCTCTACAGCTATGTCAGCAATTCTTAAACTTTAGCACCTTGATGCATTGGGATCAACTGGAACACTTGCTAAAGTCATTTCTAGTTCAGCAAGTCTGGGGTAAGGCCTCAAAATTCACATTCCTTACGAGATTCCAGATAATGCTGATGCTGCCAGTTCCTAAACAACTTAGAAACCAATGCTTTGCGATCCTTCTTTGAAAGATCACCTGTCCTCTCAAGACCAGCAGCAAATCTGAAACCTTTAGAGTTCATTAGAACCAGCAAAGGCGGAAGAAAAAAAAAAAAAAAAAGACATGAGAATTTGACCAAAACGTTTTAAATGCAACTTCAAGAAACTAAAAACAAAAGTCTGTGCCGTGAAAACACTGAAACGGACCTACACAGCTCCACAACAAAACTAGGTCATAATTCGACAGTAACTCTAAATCTTCTAAAATTTATGCCCAGTTTCGAGAAGCAAACTTGTGTTTCGATTTTGGATAATCTATGCAAAACTTTTTTGTTTTACTTTTAAGTTTGGGCAAAAAAGGGTTAAATTCCCCAAGGTGGATTTCCTGTCCTCTATTAAGAGGACTACCACTACCGGGACAGGACTGAGTTTGTCACACACCGGTTGGAAGGAACAGGAAGTTACTGTCCCCCAGAGCACCTGAAACTGCAAGCTGTGATGCTGATGCAACCTCGCTTTAAGCTTCCTGTTTTTAAAAGGAATTCTTCAAACTCCCTTAGGTCAACCCCATCCCCAAAGCGCCTGGCACGTGGCTGCTGGTGAGGCCCACGTCAGGCACAGACAAAAGCGACCGGGATGACACCCGGGTACAGTAAGTAGCTCCAAGAAACGCCCTCCCCGCTCTCGCACCTGCAGGGGGTGCCGGACTTGGGAAGGCTGTGCCTCCCACCTGCCCCGCCCCTGCCCTCCGAGGGGCGCCGACCACCGCCCAGCCGCCCAGCTCAGCCGCCAGCACCCGAACAGCAAGAAAAAAGGAAAAACATGCGGAACCGAAGCTACGACGCAAGCCGCGACCAAACAGACGCGGAAACTCACGCTCTCTACGATCCGCCTGCGTCCTCACGTCTTCGAACGTACTGCGTCATCACGCACGACGCCGATTCCCGGAAGCTCCAGTTTCCGCGGCCTTTGGAGACAGCGGGGGCAGCCTCGCGACGGAGCCGGGGCGCCAGGCCACGGCGCATGCTCAGTGGTGCGCGCCCGCGCTCTAGTGCCTGCGTGCTGCGTGGGTGTCTCGGAGACGGCCGGGGAGTGCAATGTGATGCAGTAGGGTGCTGTAAGAAGACCCTGTACCCTAGACTCAGCCTCCAAGTTCCATGAGAAACGGGAATAAATAAATTTCCTTACTGTGGTGGCTGCCTACCGTGTGTAAAGCCTAAGTCTCGGCTGCATTGGAGTGACCGCAGCGGGGCGGGGGACGGGGGACGGGGTCGACGCCGAGGTCCTTGCCACTTGGGACCAGCAGGCGTCTTTGGTCTGCTCCGATGTGGTGGAAAAACTCCTTCCCAGCCCCAACCCAGCCGCCAGCGTGTGAGCTGCCGCCTGTGAAGTGGGTGGTGGAGGAGACAAACTTCAACCTCCAAGTTGAGGGGCTGCTGTGTGTCAGCCCTAGAAAGCAGGCCAGCCTAACAAGGTCACCCAGAGGCTTGGGTCTGAGACTGCACTGTTAGGTAGTTTGGTCCATATGTCTTTTGATGCAGTTTTGGGTTTTTTGCTTCTACTTGAAAACAAGGTTTGTGATTCAGATTAAGCTAAATGTTGCTTGCCTTGCTGTATTTATTTCCTATAATAGGAGAAAACTTTTTGGCATAGAATTTTCTGTAACTAAAGGAAAGATGCAGGAGGACTCTTAAGTGTAGGTAGTTTAGTGCTGCTTTTTATTTATTGAGAGTTTTAGCAGTTATTAAAAACAATTTAAAACTGCCTAAACCAGAAGAGTTTTATCTTCTGTCATTGTGTATTGCAAGAACTCTTCATAGAGGTACTTAATTGGAGCTAAATTTAAGTGAAAATTTGACTCATTTACAGATAATGTGTATATGCATATATATATTGGTATTCAGACTTTCATATCACAAGATTCTTAAACATTATGTTGATAATAAAACTGATGATGAAAAACTGCATTCCTGGAAATGGAAGGCCAGATGAACAGGGGGAAACATAAATTGCCTACAGAAACATATTTCCTAGGGAAAAACAAATGTGCTTTCTCAAAAGGAAGGGATCCTCATTTATCTTTCTAATTCGTGATCATTTCCATCCATTCAATTAATACTAATTCTGTGTTCTCTATCACCCTCTACACCTTTCTATAATTGCATCATTTTTCTTGTCCTTATAATCAAATTCACGTGTTATTTTAAGACAAGTGTCAATACATTAATGTTATAAAAATGTAATTACTTATAGGAATTGAGAATATATTTAGGTAATTATATATTTCAAAATTGTAAGTGAACATTTTTATAGACATTTAAGAAGACAGAAATATTTTTAATGATCTCTTATTCTGTATGAAGATTTGTTGAGAAGACTAGACTTTTTTTTAAAGTTCCTATTGAATGAGCATTTAAATTGACAAACATCACCTGTATAACTTCATATCTTAAACATTTAACATGAGCAGTCAGTAGAATCCTTTCACTAAGCAAGACTTAAAAGTACTAAAGAATCAGTGGCTGGAGAAGTCCTTTGACATAAAAGGCATATAATTGTTTCACTCCTTGTAAAACAACGATTCCTAAAGCTATATTTTAATCATGAGAAAAGAGCACTATGCACATTGCACATAATATGTGACATATACTTAATGGTCTAAAATGAGTATTTAAATTTAGTCTAAGGCTTAAAGGAGAAGCAACAATCTCTCTTAAACTAGCATTCCTATAGTGTGGTGCTTGTACTCAAACAGAGGAGTTAAGGTAACAACGTTTGTACAGTCACAATCCTGGAGTGAGAACTGGCAGCAAGATAGATAAGTATTCTTAGCTTTCAGAATCCAGCCTGAAGGTGAAAGGACTGATGTCCTTTCAATAGTATCATGCAGGGAAAAACACAACTGCCTTATCTTTTAAAGGGAGGAGATAATTTTGATCTTTAATTGCTTTTAATGAATCAAATATTTATTGTTATAACCAAAACTGTACCAAAAGATGGGTAAAAGTAATCAAAGAATTTGCTGCATTCTTGTTACAAAAAAGCTTGCAAATTAAACCATAATTTAAGAGCTATAAAAGTAAAATAGCATCGTGTATCCTGATAATAAGAACAATAATGCTTAACAGCAATATACTATGCAAACAACTATAGAGATTTGTAGTGATTGTATCATATCAGACAAAATACACTTGAAGACAAGTATTTGTAGAGGCAGATTTTTCACAATGACATAACAGTCAATACATCAAGAAGTTATAACAAGTATAAATATATACGCACCCAACAGCAGAGCAATAGAGCCTTGAATTCATGAAGCAAAAGTTGATAGAATTGAGGAAGGGGATGGGGTAGCTCAATGTTAAGAGTGCCTGTCTAGCATGCATTAGGGTCTGGTTCCATCTCCAACATTACAAAAAAGAATCAAAGGAAGAAATAGGTAATACTTTGATATCAATTTCAATACCCTACTCCCAATAATGGGAAGAACAACTAGACAGAAAACCACAAGTATGTAGAAACCTTGTAAAACACTCTCAGACCACTTTACTAAATGATAAAAGAATTTACATTCTTTTTAAGAAATACATTCTCCAGGATAGCCCATGTGGTGGGCCATAAAACAGAATCATACAATTGGGATCATACAATTGTTCTTTGATTGCAGTAGAATTGAGTTAGAAACCAATAATAGAAATATATTTGGAAAAATTGCCCAAATATTTGGAAATTTAATTATTCATGGGTTAAAGAAGTAAAGGAATTCTTAAGAATATTTCAAACTGGATGAAAATGGAAATACTAAAATTTCTGGGTAGTAGCTAAAACAGTGATCTGAAAGTATTTTACTGCTTTAAATACTTATTTTACCAAAAAAAAAGGATCTTAATAATCTAGGCTTAAAAACTAGAAAACGAAGAGCAACTTAAATCTATATCAAGCAAAAGGGAGAATATAATAATCACTGGAGATCAATGGAAATAAAATCAATGAAAATGAAAATTAAGTTAGACTAAGAAAATTAAGTTGACTTTCTATATTTGTGGATTGGAAAGCTGAAAATTATTAAAGGGCACTTCTGAAATCAACCTATAGGCTTATTCAATGGACATTCCCTCTCAAAATTTCAGTGAGTGTGTTTGTTTTCATACAAATTGACAAGCCGATCCTATCTAGAATACCCAAAACACATTGAAAATGAAGAAAAAAACTGTAGGAATTAGGTTATATAATTTACCTTGACAAATTGTACCTCATATTAAAAAAAAAAGCTACTTAGAACATGTCATTAACAAAATAAAAAGATATGGATTGGAAGAAAATATTTGCAAATTTCATATTTGATGGGAGATTTGCATCTGGAATTTTACCACTCAAGAATACAAAGGTAAATGATTGAACTTTTTAAATGGGCAAAAAGGATTGCGATTAAAGCTCAGTAGTGGAGCACTTGTCTAACATGTAAAAGGCTAGGTTAGATCTTCTCTGCCTTAAAAAAGAAAAAGTGGGCAAAAGATCTGCATAGAAATTTTACTACAGAAGATATATTAATAACTCATAAGCATATGAAATAGTTTTAAAAGCATTAGTTATTAGGAAAATGAAAGTTAAAACCACAACCGCAACTAGATACCACTCCTATAATAAAAACAGATTAGTAGCAAGAATGTGGAGAAATTAGAATGCTCACACATTGCTGATCAGAATCTAAAATGGTATAACCACTTTGGAAAATAGTTTCTTAGAAAGTTAAATATACACTTACTATGCAACTCAACAGTTCTACCCCTAGGAACAAATATACCCTAGGGAAATGAAACAAATGTCCACAAAAGACTACCCTGCAAATTTAATAGCAGTGTTACAACCATCCAAAAGCCATTAACTCTTAATAAAGAAATGACAGAGGTTCAAGTTTCTGACTCATCCTATATCATGGATGAATCTCAAAAATAGTATAGTAGTCCTCTCTATTCGAGGGAACATGCTATTTTTTAAGTATGGTAAAAGTTAATTTATAAATTAGTTCAGTAAGAGATTAACAACAATTATAACAAAGTAGAACAATTATAACAATATACTATAATAAAAGTGAACTTTGTATCTCTCAAAATGTCAGTAGGCCCAAGCCCACTGAAATGAATGGAAGAGCAGTCCAAGCCAAATACAAAAACAAAAAAGTGAGCACACTATTTTGAAGAATCATTAGGATACTTTGTATTTCATGTAGCATTTTAGCAGAGTATTATTTTGATCAATAGAGGATTAAATGAGTATGCCATCATATGTCAAAAATATTATTGGTCTATGAGCAATTACAGTGTGGATTCTGAATCAAGTGGAGAATTTACTTGGAAGAATAATGGGAAATGTTAGCTATACATTACAAATATAAAATATGGAAAATATTAAATCCTACTTAAAAACATCATTATATAATAAAAAATTCAATCTATTAACATGTTTTAAAATTGTTATAATGATCTTTTTGTTTGAGTCTTTATATGAAAATAGGTGCTTTAGAACTCAAAATGTTTTCAACTGGTTTAAAAGAAGAATGTAGAATTAAGATATGATTGAGTTCATTCTATAGCCAATGAGAAAAGTGTTATCAGTAATAGGATATTACCAAAACTACTGAGAAACATAATTTGCAAGAAGACCTGCCATGGTTAATTATTCCAACACGATTATGGACATTATTATAATTGTATATCAATTTCCACTAATCAACCCTAATTAATCTAATGGAGCTGAGAAGAGCTACAATAACAATAAAATAATTTGTGTTACTTTACAGGTATTTTAATATACTTACTGCTTAATGCTTAAACTTCTGCACACTTACCAGCCATTCCCTAATCTCCAATCATACCTTAAACAGATTGATTCATTTCCTATATTGGGACATTAAACCAATAAAATGTCATTCTCTCCTCATGCATTGTCTAAGTTTTTTCCTAAGGAGGAAAAA